GACTATTATGTGCCAGATGATTTTCAGGCTTTGTTATATTTAATAATCATAATCATTTTGTGAGCTGTAAATATCAAACAACCCTATTCTACAGAAGAGGAAACTCACATTCAGAGAAACCCAAAGTCATACAACTAAGTAAGCAACAGATACTGGTTCCAGAGTCCAAACTCTTAACCACTGTACTACCCAGTAGCTCTCCTTTGTGCCTATTTCCTTTTTTGTTTATAGACTTTTTAAGTTCCATTCAAAATAAATTATCTCAGTGTCTGTGACTATTTCACCAAAAATAAAAGAATGGAAAAACATAGGGCTCTAACATGGCAAACACTTCCCAGCTTTGCTACTAGGTTGGACTTGAGACTGTGGAAAGTACCTTCTACTCTCTGACCTCATTTTCAATGCCATGGTGTCCAAGCTATCTTCAGCTCTAAGGTGTGATTTTTAAAAAATATTTTTTAGTTGTAGATGAACACAGTATCTTTATTTATTTATTTTTATGCAGTTCTGAGGATCGAATCCAGTGCCTCACTTGTTCCAAGCAAGTGCTCAACCACTGAGCTACAGCCCCAGCCCTAAGCTGTGATGTTTTATGGGCCCATCTAATACTCAGGATTCAGTAGTCAAGTTAAATAACCACAACCTGTTATTTTTCACCAAATAGTTTCTTTCTTTGTTTCTAATGCATATCGTTTGATTTTTTAGTTTGTTTTTAATATTTATTTTATTTTAATTTGTTATATATTACAGCAGAATGCATTACAATTCATATTGCACATACAGAGCACAATTTCTCATATCTCTGTTTGTAACACAAAGTAGAGTCACACTGTTCATGTCTTCATATATGTACTTAGGGTAATGAGGTCCATCTCATTCCATTATCTTTCATACCCCCTTCCTTTCCCTCCCTCTCCTCTGCCATATCTACAGTTCATCTAATCCTCCCATGCTCCCCGCCAACCCCATTATGAATCAGCATCCTTAAATCACAGAAAACATTTGTCATTTGTTTTGGGGGGATTGGCTAACTTCACTTATCATTATCTTTTCCAACTCCATCCATTTACCTGCAAATGCCATGATGGTGATTCCATTCCCAGTTTTCTTTTTTAAAAAAAAGAATGCTATTATATACTAAAGGATACTGTAAACTTACATTTTAATATACCTCATGTGTCCTGAAACAAAATATTTTATTCATATATTCTCTATATGCACATAGTTTCTCCCCTTATCACCTCTATCTAGCATTTGGCCACCAGTCTATCAATGACCTATTCTCACACCTGTCATTTGCCTTTGCTCAAGAGTAGTAATTCTAGGTCTCATCCCTGAAAGGATCAAACATAATATACTAGGTTAGGGTGGGGCTACTCCTTTGGGTAAGTAAGCAATCTGCAATTGACATGATCCCCATGGTCTCTAGATAAGAAGAAAGTATCCATGCCCTTGGCTCCTAGAAAACTCATTTCATGCAGTAGTATCATGGATGTTCATTTTACTGTTTTACCTGCATTGTCCAGTCCTAAACTCCGAATTAGTATGTGTTCCTGAAATAATGCAAGTCTTTAACCATTGAGGTCAGAAGGCACTTCCGAGGGGATACATCAAACATGGTACTATGGAGGGATATAAAGATAAGTGAAAAGAGGCCTCTGCCCTCAAGAAATTCACAATTGCAGGGAAAGATGAGAAAAGCCCTTAAGTCCAATGCATTTGATTGTGAGCATTTCTATAAAAGTGATGCTATTAACTACATACCTAATGTAGGCTTAGCCTTATGCTAAGCACTGTGTGATACATATGGTGTGTGATTGATGGTTAGTGATGCTTAAACTATATCAATAAAAACGGAAAGGATATGGTCAATACAAGTAAGGTTTTAAGGAAGAGGCAGGACTTCCTTAAATGTGATTAGGGTGGATAACATTAACATAGACGCTAAGAGGAAGGAAATAACACTTCAAGTAAGAGGTACAATGTGAATGGGATAAGAAGACTAAAGAGGCCACCCATTCTGAAGCACATGGTAGGCATTGTGCATTGTGAGCAGTAGTCTTCAGAGAGGTAAGATAAAACCTCATGGTGGAGGGCTCTGTAGACTTGATGAAGGAAATAGATATTAATGTTATGGTCATGAGTTAATATTGATATAATGAAAGATAAATTTGAGAAATATTACTCAGATACTGATAATAAGCAGGATGAGTTACAATTTGGATAGATAAGACCTAAAAAGAGCAGCAGAAAGCCCAGTGTGTGTCATAATAGATTCATGAGTAGTTGTAACACTAAAAATGGAGAGGAGGGATCAAAGCCAAGAGACATTTTAAATAACTGGACAAAGTCCCACCAACTAGAGAGATCTGGGAGTCGTTGGTAGTTATAGGAATTATGGCAGATAAACCCATGAAAGGTGAAGGAGAAAATCAAAGGAGAGAATAAAATTAGAGAAAGTAAAAATTGGGAATCATATAAGCAGTATTGACATGCATCTATGTGGACAAGGAAATGAACGATGAAAGAAAAATTCAGAGGTTCAAAGATAGAACATTAGCAAACACTCATTTCAGGGTAGGTATGAAAAATAATCTAAATGAGAGATCATTGCCTTATTTTACAGATTAAAAAATAACTGAGTCTGGTTTATGACTTATGTAAGGTCATGAAGTTGTCACAACACAGTGCAAGTTCTTCCAGACTCCACATTGCATCCTTTTCTCTACTCTTCCCAATCTTTGAGAATCACTGGCTAGAAGGAAATGTAAATATGCTGTCATAGTCACTTTACATAGAATCAAGGGTTTATTAGAAACCTAGAATGTTAAAGAAAAGGAGGAGATCTAGGACAAACAGGAAAAAAAACAAGGCAAGCGTCAGCATTCAAGAAGACTAAAATGATATCATCCTTGATTCAAGTACTCACCCATTGAATAATGGTGAAATCACTACTGCATAGGCAGCAAAAGCAGGTGGGATGGGGAAGTAGTATAAGTACAGATGGCAAAAAAAGAGGGTGAATTGACTTCCTAGATTGTTCATTTGTCTTCTGTTATGAAGAACCTTATTTTTTAAAAGTATCTGCATTTTCTCAATTTGGTTCTTACCAGGTGAGCCTACCAATGCAGCCTTACCTTAATCTTACCCTGGGAGTAAAACAATGAAGGAAATTGGTAATCATGTTTTTCAGCACAAATATCAATGTCTGAAAGCACATGATTTTAATTCAAATAATTGCATGGTGGAAATGTTTTGTGCCAAATAAAATTGTGACTTGCAATGGAAAAAAAGTAAAAAAAAAAAAATCCACTTAGCAGAATCCTAAAAATCAGTTCTGGAAAGGTTCATTGCCAACCACACCTAAAAAATATTGAGACAACCAACCATTTTCAAGGAGTAAGCATCAAAAGGATTAACATCACTTCTCAGAAGCAGCAAGGCAAAGAAATTCATTATACTTCCAGAATTGTCTTTTCCTCTGTCAATTGCCTTCTTGGTAGAAACTTGGATAGGTGAGATGAGTTGCATCCTTAAGCACTTTCTGCCTCTTTTTCCCTTTGTTGTACAAATATGAGTTATTCTCTATATCCATCACTGAAGACCTGGTCACTACAGCTGTTTTCTGTTCAGATTCAATAGCAAGAATACTATGAGGCTGGGATTCCAGACAACACAGAATGTTGTGCCTACGATGGGATCATGATTCAAAGGAAAAACATTCTCAGAAGCATTTTTACTTTTCCACTATTCCTAGAAGAAAGCAGCCTTGTGTTTGGAATTTTCCCAGTTAACTCACTGGCATGAGGGTTTGTTAACCTGCCATGGCAAAGGTAACCCACCCTGACTGCTTGGCCTGAGTCTTCAGAGATCTCCCAGTTATGGAAGTACTCTGGATGACACACTAATTTCATAAAAGAAAATATACCGGGCAGAAACTGTAAGGGATGACCACTGTCAAATTTTTTTATCTCCAAGTGCCAAGTACATTATTATGCTGAATGTATGAAGAAAGTGATTATCCATGCATTAAGCTGCTGATTGAGAGTGTATTTTGCTCTTCCAAAAAGCTGGAGGTCAGAAACAAAAACATTTGTACCACAAATGATGTTACTTGTTAATCTGGGGACTCTTATTTTCTAGAAACCTCACTCCTTTTTAGAAATATACCAACACCTAAAGTACTATAATAGCTATCTCAATTATGTCCAATGGAATAACAGCAAGATAGGGTAATTTTGTGAGTAGCGAGACCCAAAACATTCCATTAAAGTCAGATGATGTTGAGCTGTCATCACAGCTATTTAAGTCAAATACCAGTCATTATTATGGATCAGATAATGCTGATAAATAAAGTAATCTTAGTTCATAGTATAGAAGGCTGATTGCTCTTGGAATGTGAATAGCTGGACTGTTTACAAATGCTCCCATGTAGAACACCAGTCCGTAAATATTTGTAGATATTTGCTGTCTCCAGAGTAGATAAGAAGAAAAAATACCATTGAATGAATAGCTACCCAAATGAGACACAGGGGCATTTGATCACTGTCTTATTCTATTTTCTGTTGCTATAAGAAAATAATTGAGGGTAAGTACTTTATAAAGAAAAGAGGTTTATTTGACTCAAAATTCTGATGGCTGGAGGGTCCAAACATCATGACAACAGCATTCTGGCAAAGCCCCACTAGCTCCATCACAACATGGTAGAGAAACAGAAAAGGAAGTGGCCACATGTAGAAGGGGCCAAACACATGGCGTGGTCTTGCTTTATAATAACCTGCTCTTATAAGAACTAACCAGGTAGTGATAACTACAGTATTGCCTTCTGAGTGTGGCACCCCCCAATGACCTAATCAGCTTCCACCAGGCACTGTCTCTTAAAGGGTTACCACCTCAACCCTGCCACACCAAGCATCAAGCTTCTAACACATGAACTTTTCAGGAAGAGACTCAAACCATATCCAAATCATAGCACTCACCTTTATTTTTCAATCTTACAGATTATCCAGAAGTCTCATCATCTCTTGCAGTGGAAACAGAAACGTAGCAGTTTTCTCATTTCTGAATCTCTCAAACAGGTCAGTATTTCTAGGGAAGCACATTTAGGGCCACCAGACTGCTAAGAAGTAGCCTTTGGAACATAACTACAAAAGGAATAATTCTCATTCTGGTGAACAGAATGTTAAATTCTTCAATCTCATTGTGCACATAAGCAGATGTTCTACACATAATTTCTCTGTGCAGTGTACTGAAAAAGACTCCTTTATTCCCTACAAACTCACACTTATGTCACTTGTGCTAAAAGACCCCAGGGGATACTGAAACAGCCAAACATTCCATTCAGGTTATCTACTTTCATACTGTGAATTATAAACCTTGTCACGGTGCATTCCAGGCCTCTGAAATGATATGTGTTACAAATAGGTTCCTTTTGCCTGACTCTATTATGTCAGTTAATAACCTACTCTTACCCACTAACAGGCAAAAAGCATCCTCCCTACACTCCACCCCTCCTAAAATCTACTAATCTGTAATCAGTGGCAGGCAGCTTTACACACAGGATTCTCTTTAGCCTAGTGAAAAGCTAAACAGACTTCTCTTTGCAGCACTCACAGGTAAATAAACCAAGTGGAATTTAATATTAAAAGGAGATTTTTAGTTATAGAAAAACCATGAAGCTCAAAACTCAATCTAAAAGAATTTCCAATTCTTTTCTCAAGAAAAAGTTATCAATTATTCAGAAGGCTGTCAATCTGCCTGTGGGTTCTGAGGTCTCAATTCTGTCCCTTACAGAAGGTCAGCTATATACAAGTAAAGATACTGTATAAGACTTTGTATATGCCAGTCATTTTGCTGTGTACTTTGTATGTGTTATCTCATTTAATCCTCATGTTAACTCTGTGAGGCAGATATTACTATTCCCATTTTACTTATGAGAAAAATGAGGTGCAGAGAGGTGTTAAACTACTTATCTGAGATTACATGCTAGTAAGTAGCTCACCTAGGATTCCAACCCAAGGCTGACTTCAAATTGTGCTCTTTTCATGATGGCATTACATTTAAACATCTGACTTGGGCTACTTACTCTCCATCTTCACACATAATCAAAGGTTAAAGGGGCTGGGGTTGTAACTGAGTAATAGACCACTTGCCTTGCATGTGTGAGGAACTGGGTTCGATCCTCAGCACCACATAAAAATAAATAAAGGTATTATGTCCATATACAACTAAAAAAAATTAAAAGTTAAAGCCAGGCATGATGGTGCACACCTGTAATCCCAGTGACATGGGAGGCTGAGGCAAGAGGATTGCAAGTTCAAGGCCAGCCTCAGCAATTTTTCAAGGCCCTAAGCAACTTATGGAGACCCTACCTCTAAATAAATAAATAGGGCTAGGGATATGCTCAGTGGTAAAGCACCTCTGGGTTCAATCCCTGGTAGCAAATAATAATAATAATATTAAAAAGAAGGAAGAATTCCATCTACTTTCTTATCCACAGCCTAGATGAAATGTTTAATATTTAGCTAAGATAATTCATATGCTAGTAGTATCTAGATTTCAGTTATCTATGGTGCTCATCTCTCTTATTTTCTGATTTTTGTATGTTATCAAGGTATTCTAAAATACCCTATATAAGGGTTAGAGAGTTGTCTTTTTTAATATTTTATTTTTTTTAGTTGTAGATGTACACAAATACCTTTATTTATTTATTTATTTTTATGTGGTGCTGAGGATCGAACCCAGGGCATCGCAGTGCTAGGAAAGCGCTCTACCGCTGAGCCACAACCCCAGCCCGAGAGAGAGTTGTCTTTCTTGTAGGAGTTCTTAAAGCTTTCAATATGCTACTAAATTTTGTGACTCACCAATAGGAGGTTGTAATATTCACTTGAACTAATTTGACTGTTGGATCCTTCCCTTTGTGCAAATCACGGACATTTTTCTTTATTGCAGTATTTGTCAGGACTTTTAACATGCTACAGAACGTTGTGAGTCCCCCAAAGTGGAACAAATTATTTCCCAAACTCATATTACTATATAACACTTACGTTTTTCAGAACACCTTCAGTGAATATTGAACTATGAAATATATTTTTATATGTTCCATACCTTTTCCATGGCAATTTGTCCAATTAACTGAACCAATTAGTTTATAGAAAAAAAACACAAAGTTATGTTCTGATAATAATAAAATAGTGTTTGGGCACACAGGAGGGAAGAATTGGAGCATTTTAAAATTTATCAAGAAATGGAGAATTTTTTTTTAAATGTTGGACTGGAAGTGTATAGCTCAGTTAGTAGAGTGCTTGCCTCGCATGTGCAAGGCCATAGGTTCAATCCCCAGCACCACAAATAATAATTATTATAATAATAAAAATAAAAACAAAATATATAAATAATTATTACAGTGATATTTATAAAAACTCCAAACTAAAACAACTTTAATGTCTATGAACAGAACAGATGAATAGTTATATATGTTCAAATTATTAAATGTCTATATATTTTCCTTTATTTTATTTTGAAACATATTTTAGTTAAAGAATGAAGGATAGAATGATGATTTACAGGGGGCTGGGGATGTGGCTCAAGCGGTAGCGCGCTCCCCTGGCATGCGTGCGGCCCGGGTTCGATCCTCAGCACCACATACCAACAAAGATGTTGTGTCCGCCGAGAACTAAAAAATAAATATTAAAAAAAAAGAATGATGATTTACATATGTGCTTGCCATTTAGAGTTAACAAACGCTGACTTTATTTTCATTTTGTCTCAAATTTTTGTGTATAAAAAGAAATTATTGCCATATTTTTACACAAAAAATGCAGTGATTCTAGATGATTTTTTTTCAAAATGAAAAGGCAAACTCATAAAAACATTTGCAGAATATACAGTGCACAAAATTAAACATCCATAAATTAGAAAGCTCTTGTAAATCAGTAAGCAATGTTAGAAAATGGACAAAAGATATGAAAAATCAGTAACATATGAATTAAAATGAAGATGCGTGAAAATTGTTCAACTTCACCATAAAAGAATACAAATTAAAATAACCTAAAATAGCAATTTTGGTCTATTAAATCAGCCAGTACTTACAAATTGTGGTACCTAGTATTGGCAAAGACATGTTGAAATAGATGTTATTTTACACTGCTGATGTAAGTTTAAATACATAGATCATTTTTTTAGAGTAATTTGGTGACATGTATAAAAGCCTTAAATTGTTCATACAATTTTATCTAGTAACTAATTCCATTTTAGGAATGTATTTTATGCTTTTATTTGTGCATTCTAGTTATACATAATAGTTGAGTTCATTTTGGCATAATCATACATGTGTGAAATTTAATTTGCTCCATTTAAATCCCTGGTGCCTCCTTTTTCCAACACCTCCTCCCTCCCCCAATTCCCCTTCCTCTGCTAATGGTCTTCCTTCTATTTATTTATCTATTTGTTTTAATTGGTGCTTTATAGATATACATAAAAGTGGAATTCATTGTGCTATATTTATACATTCACAGAGCATAATTTTGTCTAATTCATTTTAGGAATGTATTTTAATGAAATAATCTGGGCTCTGCACAACTATTTATCATCAATTTATTATAATGGTAGAAATTTTGAAGCAAAACTAAATATCTAGCAATAGAGGAATGGTGAAATATATTGGTACATCATTCTGAAGAAAAATTGTGTGACTATTAAAAAAATTTGAAGAATAATTAATAAGACTATGAAAAAGCTGTGTGAATGCAGCTTAATTTCATTTTTACATGGTGTTAGAAATTGAACCCAGGATCTTGCACATGCTACCACGAACTTCACCCCAACCCCAAATTCAAAAGTATAATTTTAGCCAGGCCTAGGTGGTACATTCCTGTCATCCCAGCAACTTGGGAGACCAAAGCAAGAGAATCACAAGTTTGAGGTCAGCCTTAGCAACTTGTAAGACCCTGTCTCAAAATAAGAAGTCAAAAAGGACTGGGAATGTAGCTCAGTGGTAGAACATGCCGAAGTTCAATCCACAGTACCAAATAAATAAATAAATAAATAGTGATATTTTTGTCAGTTTTATTGAGATATAATTCTCATACTATATAATTTGAACATTTATAATTCAGTGCCTTTTAGTATATTCACCATAACAAAAATCAATTTTAGAACATTTCTTACCCCAAAAAGAATCCCCATACAAATAAGCAGCCACTCCCCATTCTCACCATTCCCACCCCTAAGCGGTTGCTAGTCTACTTTCTATCACTATGGATTTGCCTATTTTGTACATTTCATATAAATAGTATCATACAATAAGTGGTGTTGGGGAGAAAACATTCATAAGTCAAATATCTGATGAGACTTGAATGCAGAACATATGAATAACACATACAATTCAATAATTAAAGGAAAATAACCCAATTTTTAAACTGGACAAAGAACCTAAACAGATATTTTGCCAAAGAAGATATACAAATGAACAAACAACCATTAAACACATGAAAAAATGTTCAACATCATTTGCCATTAGGGAAACAAAAATTAAAACCACAATGAGATATCAATTAACATCCACTTGGTGTAGTTACAATGAAAAAGATAGATGAAAACAATTTTGGTGAAGATGTGAAGAAGTCAAAACCCTGAAACATTGCTGCTGGGATAGTAAAATGGTGCAGTCATTCTTGAAAACATTTTGGCAGTTCCTTGAGATGTTAAACATATAATTACCAAATGACCCAATAATTCTATTCCTAGGGCTGGGGATATAGCTCAGTTGGTAGAGTGCTTGCCTCACATGCACAAGGCCCTGGGTTCAATCCCCAGCACCACACACACAAAAAACCTCCTAGATATATCCACTGAAATTTATATATAAATATTCATAAGATTATTCATTATGTTCAAAAAGTAGAAACAACCCAAGTGTCCATCTACTGATAAGTAGATAAATAAAATATGATATACCCATACAATGAAATATATTTGGCAACAAAAAAATACAGGTTCCAACAGGAATGTGCCTTGAAAACTTTATAAAATTACATTTTAATTTAAAACTTTTAAATATAAAATGCATCTATATATA